CAAAAGTGCCTCAGCCGCGGGCAGCCGCAGTGCTTCCCAATTACTATTTGCCGGTGTATAAGACGACCCGGCATATAAGACGACCCCCACAATTGGAGGCATCTTTTTCAGGGCAAAAAAGTCGTCTTATACGCCGGCAAATACGGTAAACCTAAACTTTAAGGCTTAATATTATCTGCAAACTACAACACTATGGCTTGTTTAGCAAACCACGGATACAAATTTTGGCACAGCTTAATATGGTTTTAATTGAATAAGAAAACATGGTGCTGCCAAAATATATGTTATTCAGACTACTTAAAAGGATATAGTTAAAAATAAGCACCATTTTTAAAAAAAAAACAGGTAGAATGAGGGATATCAAATTAAAATTCGCTATAAAAATTATTATTCTGATTATCAAAAGGGTCAAACATTGGTACTAATGAATACCCAATATTCTTCTGAAGGCATAGTTTTATCTAAATGCTGACATAAAGAAAGCAAACATAATGCAAGGAAAAAAGCAAACTTTACCTGTCTGAGCTGCTTAACATCGCCAAATATCTTCATCACTCCATCAATCTCACGCTCTAGCCTTTGAGCCCAATTCTGCATTCTGTAAAAGAAAGGTTGGAAGTAGAGTCAATGAAAAGAATGGGGTTAAAATTCAGCATTTACAGCTTAGCTAACATCCTTTGTTCTTATGTTCAGAAGATTCAGCATGTCCACCTCCCATGCAATAAAACTGCAAGTTTATCAGCTGACCAAAATCTAGTACTAGACACACCATACAACTAAAAATAAAAATCAATAAAATACTCGAGATTGGATTACTGTTTCTGCTTAAAAAAACACTGTAGAACTGGGATTTCAATTCCTTTCAATGAAGATATACCTTTTGTAGAATAATACTACCATTCATTCTAATTTAAAAAAAATAGCTGGCTATATCATTTTTAAGAATATAATGGGGGGGGGGGGTGAAGAGAATGGAAGGATTTTATTTTATTTTATTATTTTATTTTATTTTTATTTTGTCCCCCATCACAACTGTGAGGTATCTCTTCCAAAAGGATATGGAAAGACCGGGGGACTTGTTCAACCTTCTAAAATGTTAGAGATAAGACACTTACAGGATGGGTGCATGCTATATGGCTAAAATAGTATATTTGTGTTCCACAGAAATGTAGCATTAAAGTTTAGCTCCAGCAACTGATTAATCCTCTATTGTACTGCAAGTGAAGATCCTAAACCAGGGGTGTCCAACCTTGACAACTTTAAGACTTGTGGACTTCAACTCCCAGAATTCCTCAGCCAGCTTTGCTGGCTGAGGAATTCTGGGAGTTGAAGTCCACAAGTCTTAAAGTTGCCAAGGTTGGACACCCCTGTCCTAAACTCTGCTGAAGATGTTACTAGCCTGGTAACAAAACATTCAGAAACCAACCCCCAAGCTCAGAGAACAAACCTTCACCCTCATGGAGTTTATGTAATGGAACAATATTCATTGAGACTGGGAGAGAGCCTGGGGTTCATTAGAATGCAGGAAGCCAAAGAACTGGCTTGGTAAAAATAAGTTCGAAACTTCTGAACAAACTATAATATGCTCTAAGGAAATGGTCACGTTCAGCATTCCCATTTCAATTTTTAAACAGAGTGCAATCTCTCTATATTTCAACCTTTTCCCCTATTTTTCAAGCATGGCTTGATGCCAGATTTCTTAACTCTCCTTTAAACATGAGGGAGATCCATTGGAAGCTAGAGTTTACAGAGCAAAAATGCTGAAAAGGCAATAACAGCTGTCACCTAACACTAAGCATGGGAAGAGCAAAACAGGTTTGTCATTAAACTATGAAAAGAATGGAAGGAACATGCAGTTCATAAGAGAAAGGGAAGCAACTGCATTTTGTCAAAGGGCAATCATTTGTCTGAAATATAGATAGTCCTCAATTTACGACCACAACAGAGCCCAAAATTTATGTGGATAAATGAAAAATTTGTTGTGAGTTTTGCCTCATTTTACAACTTTTCTTGCCACATTTGTTAAGTGAATCACAGAGTAGTTAAATTAGTAATTTGGTTGTTAAGTGAAACTGGTTTCCCTGTTGACTTTACTTGTTAGACGGTCGCGAAAAGTGATCATGTGACCCCGAGACACTGCAATCGTCATAAATGTGAGTCCCCTGCTAAGCATCCAGATGTAAATCATGTGACCACGGGAATGCTGCAACAGTAATAAGTGTGAAAAACGGTCATAACTCACTTTTTTCACTGTTGTTGCAACTTCAAACCAAGTGAACTGTTGCAAATTGAGGACTAAATGTAGCTTCAACCTTAATGTATAACACACATTCTTTATAGAAAGTGCTACATCTAACAGCCAGAGCCCCTCAGTCAGTTAAAGGAGGCATCTGACAGTCATGATCTGCCTATCTCTAAACAGATTTATGCTAGAGAGGTCTTGTATGATGCCCTTGTTGGGTTTGGGGAGATATTTGAGACCCTTGCTAATGCAAAGCCTCTGGGTGTCCTGCCATGGCAATGTGCCATGTGGCCAATCTCCCTTCTCAGCAACAACTATTAGCAGCACGAGAAACATATTCTCTCTCTGCCCCCCCCCCCAACCTTTCCTTCAGTTTCCACACCCAAGTTCAGCAGGAAAGAGTCAGAGGCAGCTAGAGAGGAGCGGATAGCAAATATCTGCTATGAAAACCATTAATATATAGTCCTGAAATCAATCTTATTGCTAAAAACCTGCATCATAATTAAATATATGGGAACACATTTAATGTTTAAGTAGGCTAAAATTATGCTTCCATATTATTGTCTGAAAAGTGCTGCTCAGGGTTTTATTTTTTTTCATTGGTTGGGGGAAAGTTAAGCAGAAACTGGGATGCAGGCTATTGAAATTAACAGCCCCTCACAAGTCCTTGAGAATACCTTTCCACAGAACAGCCAAATCCACTCATATTTCCACTCAAATCCAACCAAGATTTCTCAGGAAGAGACTTAGTTGGACAAACCCAGCTGCCTATTTCATCACAGATCACATAATTCTTCCTGGTGAAAAAGCAGATCCTCAATGTATACAGTATCATGTATACGTGTATCCCCATGTATACAGAGTAGAGAACTGTATTTGATTTGTGCTTATTGCAGATTGCTTTCATTCTTGCTTGTTTAAATCCAACTTCTCCGCTCCTTTTCAGATACCATCATCTCAAGCTTAAACTAGACATTTCTCTAAAGTAACAGTACTAAGAAGTAGGAAGATTTGAAAGCGAATTTATTGTCCTAGGCCTAAACAACAGTGCTCCCCGGACACTTCTTTTGGTGCCTACTAGCTTTTTGCCTCAGCTGACTATTTTTTAAAATCAGTGTGAAGCTGACATTCTTCAACAGTGCACACCTTGCCCCACAAAAGCTGCATCAGCATTTTGAGCCAGTGAAAATAATGATAGGCTGGAGACTAGTGGCTCATTTTTCCAACTAAATGACACCTGTCCACAGAAACAGAAAAAGTCAAATGTAAATTATACTGTGATAGAGAAATCCTGAAGGAATAGCAGATAGCAATTGCATCAACTTGCCTTCTGTTAAATAGGTTTATATGATGTGAAGCACCCATTGCATGCTAAAAAATTTCAAACGTACCCTTAGCTCTAAAATATTTGTTATGCTTGACATTTGTTGAGCTTTTTTTCAAGATACCTTTTCAAGAAGGCATCATTCATATGTTCCAGTGTCATATGTTTACATTTCACCATAAAAATATACACTAATCATTTCTGATATGTTTGAGAGCCAGATATGTTGAATGACAAGCAGAGATAGCATAACTCCTTAAACAGAATGGGTATTTCCATAGTTCAGATACATACATTCATAAAACCTATAAACTATTTTCAAAAGAAAGAAAAATTTTGTAACAATGTAAAATCTAAAAACACATTTTTAAAAAAGCAAGAGATCACACACTCACTCTCACACACACACAAATAAAAGATCTGCTCCACTTTTTGCTATTATCTAAAAATTGGCTGTTAACATTTTTGTGCTTTACTGTAACATTTTGTAATACATAATATCGGCTTTGGCTGCCATTTGTGAAATCATATAGAAATATATAAAATGTGCCACAGCTAGTCTTTATGCCTTTATGATATACAAACACATTTCAAGTGTGCATTAAAATGTACATTTTAATGGTAAATAAATAAGGTAAATAATAAGATAGAAATGAGTATGAGAGAAAAAAAAAAAAGAACAATCCATAGTTTCCCTAAGATGTGGAGAAAAAGACTCAACACTTGCAAGGAACAAATGGCGGACTAAAGACAGCTCTATGAAAAGTGGAGCCACTGACTGTAAAGAATAAAGAAGTGGAACCAGATCAGCTCTTTCATAATTCCAATGAAAGAACCTGAGATCAGTGCTCCAGGCAGCTGCTCCTCATAAGAAGATCACAAGATAGCTGTCTCTGATGGATTTAAAGCTCCAGAAAAGAATAGAATAACTAATTAGTGCATTTGAAAGGATAGTGTGTTTGCAGATTTCTTTTCTAAATGTTTTCAGAAATTGTTTCTTAACTGCTTTTCAGCTATCAGGAAACTTTGGGTCAACTTTGGAAAAATTTTACATCGTTTTCTTTCAATCCACAGTTGAAAGAAGTTTTTAATACAAGTTTTAGGACTTTAAAAATTATTTTTGAATAAGCCACAATAGGTGATTAAAACTTTGATTTCAGAAAGTTACAAGTAGACTAGGGGTCCATAAAATTTGAAATAAGAGTTAGGAATTAATTATAAAGAATCCTATTTTGAATTCTAAAAAAAAAAAAAAAGACTTTAAAGGTTGGACACTAGAGGGAACTTGTCAGCCTCCTAAGTAGTCCAGGTAGGAAACCCAATAAGATGAGCTAATTCTACTTTATTGTAGGGCTACAATAACAGAAAACCTACAAGTCTGAAAGTACAACTCCTGCCGTCTCTTTTACTGATAAACTGGGACAGATTCTTTCTAAATTTCTTTTCTTTGTTCACTGTTCAGCTGCAGTCTCTTTCCCCCTTTAATCCGATTGTTTCCTAGGAAGCATTTCTTCCCCTGATTTGCCAAAGTCATCTCCATACACCATTTCAGAACTAGAAGGAACTAAAGATTATAACTGAATGAGAAGAACACTCAAACTCAACTCACAATTACAGAATGAAGCAAGAGTATTTTAATACTGGACATAGCAAAGAATATTTTGGAGCAATGGACTCAAAAGTTAATTTTAAAAGAGTGTCTGGCTCTGTGTTTCAAAGGTATTATAGAAGAGGAACAAATTTCACCATGTTAAAATAACATGGATAAAAATGTTACACTGGACATGCAAAAGAAACTGGGTAATGTCTTAATAATTAAAAATGATTTTACAAAAACAAATCAAGAGATGATTACACTGGATTTACAAAAGAGGATTTTTAAAGCTTTGAATAGTTTTATGAGAAGAGACAAAGAAAAAATGAAAAGAAATAAAATTCTAGGATATTATTTGAAGACACTAAAGCTCAAGATCTTTAGAAGTAAAAAAAGATTAAATGTAAATTTGGTTTATTTGATCAAGGCTAAAGTAG